TGTAATCGGCAGGTCAAATAACCCCACTATGCGAAGACTTGGCGATTGAGGTTTTGGATCCTTAGTGATTGATGATTGTTCTCCAGCAGCCCTGCGCACAGCAATTCTTTCAAATTTATGAGGCCCCCAAATAACAATTTGTCTTTCAATTCTAATTTTATACTGAGCCGAATGCGTCAATCTCTAACAATAATTCGCATAAATTTTCAGGTTGCTGTGCATGATCGGGTTGCTAACGGCTTCATTTTTGCTCAGAACTCCATCAATCCCCGAAAATCACTGATTTTCGATAAATGCTTGTAATTTTTTTAGTATTTCGTATTTAAAAAACAAACAGTTTGCGCACTTTTGTAGCATGCGTTGAGTAGTATATAATTTCAAAGTTGGAGTGCACCCATTATTGTTAGGAAAGTTATGAAGGCGGTTGCAAATCTTAGTTTTCAACCTAATATATCGGAAATCCCACTTGACCAAGCAATTTGCCATTCCATCAAAAAGGCACGGCTGCTCAAACTCATTATTGAAATGGTACTAAGGTTTTAAAGTAAGCCAAAGTTTTACAGCAGTTATTTCGTATGTTATATCGTACGTTTAGGCCAATCAGTGCATAAAGGAAGCAAGACAAAAGGATTTTTTGGCAATTTTTTCAAAAATCATAACTTTGCATAAGAGTTATCCGCACAAACTTGCTCACCTGAAAGAAACTGGTCAAGAAACCTATTATACTAATTGCCCCGATTTTATTGCAAGTCTCTTCTTCACCAAACACATGAAACAAGTTTTAGAGATATAAGTATTGATTGTTTTAGAGCCTTGACCAAGATGGTATCGATCTTTATTCGGCTGAACTTAATCCCCTTCTGCTTTCCTTATGTGTTGGAGGAGTTGACTAAGGCTGTTAAAACATGCTTGCGCCCGGCAGGCCTACAAGATTCTGAAAGGGTTGTGGAGGTCCCTTTGAAAAATCTTATGCGATTGCTAGTACGGAATCGAGCTTATGATCGCCTCTGC